CCCCCACACACACAGACTTCATGTCCTAGATTCATCCCCCTTGGTTTTTCTTGTATCCCCCAAAGTCACACGACCTGCTTCTCACTTTGTCGCAGACAAAGAACTTCATCCAGGTTCATTTTATACTGTCTCTGCCCTTTCTCCCCCGCTCAGCCTTGAAAAGAAGCCCCCCAAGAAGTTAGACCCTGAGGGAGCCAGAAGATGTGTCCGGAGGGCAGTCTGAAGCCTGTGCCTCTGACAAAAGCTTCCTAGAACCGCCCCTGCGCCCAAGGTCACGTTTTTCCGCTTTTCAGAGGGGCCGGGGGGGGGCGGGGGGGCGGGCACCCCCCAGGCTCCGTACCTGACAGACCCCTCTCCTGCTACCTGCCACCCACCCTCCCTGTCCCTCCTCCATCCATCTCCCTCTCCAGGTGCCACTTGCAACCTTCTGGCAGCAGCAATCTGGATTTTATTTCAGGGATTTTTTTTTCCCCCTTCAGCTAGGAGAGCGGGGGGTGGGGGGCGGGAGGGAGAGGAGGGCAGTGAGGGGGAGGTGCGCGGGAGAATGACCAACAGCACTCTGCCCCCTCCCCAAGTCCACGGCGGTCTTACCTCCGCTGACCCCTCCGGCCTGGAGGAGAAAAGTCAAGGTGAGGGTTGTCACGGCGAGGTCCCAGAGCCACCGCTTCGTCTTCCACCTGGAGGACCACGGCTCCATCTCCGAGCCCCGCACTCCCGGCTGGGAACTCGACCCACGAAATTGCCACCGCGCACCAACTCTGTCCCTCCCGAGATGTCGCCGGGGACGCCTGCTACACAGCCATTGAGGAGGGAGAGGGGGGGAAAAGTCAGAGGGCTTTTCTTGTTCTTTTTTTCTTTTCAACGGGATGGTCTGCTTCCTTCCTGTCTCTCGCCCCCTCCTCTCCGTCACCCGGGGGCGCCGCCGGCCGGGACCCTCCGATCCGTCCTCGGCCGGGTCCTACTTTCAGACTGAGGGCGGATGGGGGGCTTCAATCAGCGAGTCGAGAGCACTGCGCGCCCCTAAAGGCTTCATGCCGTCAGGGGGCCGGGCGAGCG